AACACGGACACGTCGGTTATCTGGATGAGTACAGATTCGCGATTCGTCAACGAAGAGGCAGTTTTGCCAAATGTTTTCCTCTTCGTCTTCTTCGTTTTGCCGGAGCCTAGCCCACTGTAATCTCCGTCGCTGACGTTCCCGTGAATTCAAAGGTGTTCGCCAAGACCACCGTGCTCGTAATCCAGCCTTCTGTAAGCAAATCCCAATGGTCTAAGTCCTAACTTCAAGTCCGGAGGCGGCCCGTATTTCTGATTTTAATTTAGTTGCGTTTATTATTGGGTCGCGGGCTACCAGCCATCTAATGGTTGGTGGTTACTATACAGGATTGGAATATGGCAACTCTGCGTGCTATTTCTCTCGTAGAATAGTCTTCTTCCCTCAAAGTTACAATTCTGGCTCGTAAAAAATCTGATAATCCTCGTGGCATTTTTTATTCACAACTTTCCGTAAAAAACATATTTTAAATTCTGAATGAGTGTCAGCTTGGATTGGATGCCTTTTTATATGGAAAAACAATATTGAATTATTTTATTGTTTTACGTTCTAATTTTAATTTTAAAATTTAGAAACTTATGAGAAAAAGAAATTAGAAAAAAGTCTTCTGTAACACAGAAAACACACCATTTTTCAAAGTGGTCGCTTTTTTTGGTATGTGTATAATTGTGCATTTACATCCATAGTGACCCCACAAAAAGAGATTTTACCTAACCCATAAATAATAATGTTATTCGAATTCCCACCCGCAGGTGACCAATTTTTCAAAGCTCTCCCAACACAAAATCGGTGAGCCAACAATAAACGAATGGACGGACAATGAATTGCTTAATCCCCCCTCAGTAAGTAGTATGGACCAATCATATGTCGCCATTATTTCACCGGATTATCCATCCAATTCGGTTGAACTCGGTGCTGTTGATGCGATTCAAATCGAAAGTACACCTCGTTAATTGTTTCCGTTCAATTGAAAAGCACTCCGCATTATTTAACACATCGGAATTCTGCCCCTAGGATTATTTATTTTTTATATTTTATTTTTCCAGCCATTGTTCATTTTTCTCGTCCACTTAAAATACAAGCTTTGGTATTTACTGTTTATTCATCGAATCCATTTGTCCGTTCTAATTTTTTTTTTATAAATAGTCACTTGTTTGAAAAATGGCGTAAGATACTAAGATAGGTAGAACAGAGCGTGTTTTACTGTTTAAATTGGATCACCCGTCTGGGGAAGTAAGTAGTCTCCACCTTCTAGAATATCAGAGTAAAATAACGCTACCTTTTAGTGGTGTGTTTAAATTCAGGGAAATTCTGGAGGTAGGGTTTCCCAGAAATTTTCTGTCGTATCAGCCATCTGTGTACTCACTTTGAAGTTTAGGTGGAGTGAGGCAATTTGCTGCGCTATGCTTCGATCGAAATTCTATTTCTATTAACTTACTTCTACATTTATTTTGCTTGTGAAAAAGAGTGAGTGTTTGAAATTAAACAAAATGTAATATTCTAGTTGTATTTTTATTTTTTTAACGTTTAACTGCTAGATGTTAAAATCTAAGGAAAATTATACTAGAAAATTTTAAAAATAGAACTAATATATATATAATATAAACAAAAAAATAATGTAAGTAGTTATATTTTCATTAACCTATAATACCACCAATTTGTTCAGATTTGATAACAAGATATAAATATGAAGGAACCGATTCGGCAGTAACAAGAAATAATATAAGTAATAGTTATATCACGAAAATAGTAGTCAAGAGTTATGAAATTAACAAGAAGTTTCTTTGATTTAATTAAACGTCATAAACTAAACTGAAACACTGTTGATATTAAAGAGCAGATATTGAAGGAAGGTCGTCAAGTTGTGCAAACTTTATGCAAATGCTGGTGCAGGTTAAGCTCAACATTTAATTATGCGACTCGAAGCTTTTGAGGGGGAAATAGAGAGATTATAAAGGTCAACACATCGCTAGGAAGGATTAAACTAGGAGAATAGTCAACAACGTTCTTAGTGGGAGAATACTGTAGATACACAATACTATGATCGATCCATTCGTTTCAAAGGTTTTAGTTCGAATCTATTCTGGGACCAGCTGAATAAAATGTTAATCTCTAGAAATGTTACAAAGTAAGTAGTTGCCTTGATACTAAGAGCCAAGCTACCCGCTTAGAGACTAATGAAAGTGATAAAACCTATAGTTGTTATCTGGCAATTTATCCACAAGGAAAGATATGGTTTCCATTATCTCCTTCTTAATTGTTTTCTCCCACTGGAATTTCTTTCTTTCTTCATCTAAAAAGGATAATACAGATTAGAATTATAAAAGACTTCGGCTCACTTGCAGCAAATCACAATTCAACTAAAACTTGATTTAATACATAGAAAAATTACGATATGTCAATTTCACATTATTATATTATATGGGCTAAATCTAAATAAAATTAAATTGAACTTTAGCAAAATTACAATTCAAGTGGACCTAAATGTGTCTTCCAGAAAGGAGCCCGAGACAATTCCATTAAAACTATTTTTATATAGAATAGATGGATTAGCAGATGACACTATCATCCTCATATTAACATCTGTCTTAATGTTTTCACTGCTGGCCATAGACTTTCTCGGTTTTCTGTCAGGTGAAGGAAACATAATTAGGCAGGAGCTTTCATAAAAACCGCAGATCACCTTTTTATGTTAGGATAATGCGTGAAACATACCTGACCTCAGGGTAAGAGACCAGGTTATGTGAGACTCTTACCTGCACGTACACACTCAATTAGCTCTAAGAGTGGCTGAATGGCTGGGACGGAAGGGGCCCTACGCACTGAAAAACTAACGGCTTTTTTTGTTTTTTATACGAGGAGCAGCAAATTAACTCACCCCACATGATGTTAAATGTAGGTGGAGTCTAGTCAGTCGCCAAGGTAGGTGATGCGCAAAAAATGTGTCACTTCAGACATCCTCACCTCACGTCTGAACCAGTCCCTTATTCCACGAAACCCTGGAAACTCACCAGCAGAAACACAACACCATCAAAAAAGGTACTGTTATTTTACGGTGGGTTAGGTGGAGGTCGCTTCACTAGACAAAGCTTCAATTCGAGCAGAAAATCCGCTGTTCACAACCTTTCTTATAGGTACAGAAGTAGTCTCTCGGAACGGGTTTGTGGGATTATGTGACTCTCCACGTAACCCCCGGCGAAGGTTTCTATTCCTTCATGTGGTCAGGGGATGCTCGGGAGCACCGATGATTCCCCACAAAGGAGTGGGACTGTGCAATGAAGATGGCAGAGCAACGAAGATCAGCTTGAATATGAAATTCGAAACGCCAATCTGCAAATAAACTGTTAGGATCGCTGACGCTGTCCAAGTAATGAAGATGCATGAGATGGAAAAGAATGAAATTAATTAAGAAAGTAAAACGATAGCATGAACTGGAACTCGATTGGACAGCGTAAAATATCGGGATCAAATTCTGAAATATGAGACAACCTTCGTGGTAAAATACTCTAAACTGGTTTTCATTGGTGTTGCCACTCTGCAGTTCCAAGGTAGATGTCGCCTGGGACAAAGTATACCGTTGTGTCATTTTTCAGATTTCTTTTGTTATTTTTATCTGGAGTTCCCTACATAGTGCGCAGGAAAATTAATCCATCCGTAGGTCGACAAAAAAATTAAATTGGTAATCAAATAACGTTAGGCCAACTACATCGTCAATGATGCGGGTCGTATGGAGCGACGCTGCAACCTATCCGAAAACTTGAGCAAGCACTTAAATATCCCAAAAGTACGGGCAATGTTCCACGCAGGATCACACTTGTATTTTATTTTGGGATAACACCAACGTTATTATTTCCCACGTTGCCCGTTGATTTAAACTGATATTTTTTCTTACTTTTTTCAGATGTCCCTTACATCTGATGGCATAGTGTCATTATATAAAAATCTGGAAAAATTACAAAGCAACGAAAATGAAAGTGACTTATAGAAAATTGTAAAGAATTTAGCATTAAGCATTCGTTCAAATCGAAGCATGACGCTCATAAATCGTAATTATTTTAGTACTTCCAAAAATTAAAGATACGCTTCTTAAAATCGAATGGTGGTTAAAGTGAGGAAAGATTTAACAAATAGCAGTTTTTTATTCTACAAAACTGGGAAACAGGCATTCGGTCCGCCTGGTGATAATGGTGCCTTGGTCTATTGTTCTGATAAGCACCTGTCACGAACAGGTCATTCGACAGATGGCCGAAAATTAGTTACCTCGAGTTCCTCTGTGCTTCAAATGACATATTAAACCGCTAGTTCCATGACAACATGTCACGTTTTTATCCTTATGGAGAGGTAATCAACTTTTATTGTCAGTAATATTTTCTCATACTTATTTTACTGCAGACATTTAACATACTGACATAGTTAATCGTACTTTTATCAATTTTATTATTTCTTTTTATTTTTGCATTTTATTTTACTTTTTCTGAACATTTGTATTTCCCTCACCGCGACATGTCTCTGCTTATCCCGCTAAACCGTATGGCATTAAGTCCGCCATTTGTTGTAAGGTGTTAAAGAGTAAATAAGTAATATGTATATATGTACATCAGACTATTGGCCTATTTAATGTTGCGGTTCGGTTCTGTCAATGGAAATAAAACAGAGAATAGATTTGATTAAACCCACCAAATGGGCCCGATGCAAATCGATAGAGGTCGAAAAGTTTACAAGTAATAATAAAAGACCGACAACTTGTGGTGAAGAGGAACGGAGAAGGTGAAAGTAGGAATATTTTAATTACTGATCTATCAATTGGCCTTTGCTGAAATTGCTCAACTTTCAATGCTCAATATCGCATTATCGAATTTCATACTAGTTTTTACCAAATAATTTAATTAATTAATTTTAAATTCCGAATATAAATTTTGAAGGCAAAAAGCTTCATAGTATCCTTTTCAAAAAGTATTTTTTTTGCTTGATTTATGAAAACATTATCATGTAAATTAATAACTCACCGACGGAGTCCGTAGACTTGAAAAACACTGAAATTCCCAACACAACAATCCATAACCACTTTATCACTAACTTTTTCGTACCCATTATGGTTTCACAGAACTTTTTGCTGTCATCAAAAATTGTTATTTGAAACTACGGAATGAAAACACAGGCGACCAAAAAGAAATAATAAAAATAAAATTTATAATTGTTAGTTTCAATTTCGAAGTTTCGAACCGATCACGTTCGTATTATGAACGGACGGTGCGGTGTTCCGCCAACATGCATTGGGAACTTGTTCCCACTGAAGCAAATTTACGGAGTCTGGACGAGACCCGTATTTGGCGCAGGCGCGTGGAAGACTAGTAATTTAAATTTGTACTACGGAATAGTGAAGTGTACCGTCTCACGTCCCCCTTGTTAGTATATTAATTCTACATTGGTCTTTACAAAATAAATATTTATGGGGCCATAAAAGTTATTGAATACGAGTTCAAAATCCACAACAGAAACATAACTCGGCTTAAAAGATAACTTTTTTGTATGCAAATGTTCGTAGTCTTTTTCATTGCGTCGCCACTCCGTTTGAAATTATACCGTCCTCTTTTGACAGATTTATAACGGTTGACTTTTGACTTGAGCAATTTGACGTGACTTCCGTCTTATGCTGCGTTTACTACCTGTGTATATATTACAATTTTTAAAAACTCTTCATTTACACACAATGCAATATTTTGCACACATGCGTTTAAACGAATGAACAGAGAAGATTTAAATGGTATTAATTAAATTTGCAAAGCCTTTTTTTTTTCGAAAACTAACTGTAATTACAGATCAATTAAGCACATTTTTCTTTTTGAAGGTTTGCATTATCTGCAAAAATCCGTATGTAAGTTTTACTTTTTAATATGTGCAAACAATTTTTAACTACTTGCCGATATTAAATGTCTGTAATATGGCCCACATAATGTAAGTCGTAAGATTAGTGACATTGCAGTACTGTTGAGTTAATCTGATGCTGGAATTGAAGTGTTGCAACTGAAGATCGAAGATCGGAGGAAGATCGAATTCGGGACAATATGTTTTTACCAGACTGCGCAATGCAAGAACGCGAAGCGCGACGCACAGAGAGGGTATAGTGATTAACAGTCTATATTATGTATGTGTTACCTACCGCTAGCGCCATCTAGTGAGTTATCTGAGGACGAACGCGAACCTATATGTCACAAACATCTCTCAACTACCATAAACGGCACGCATTTTTTAATATTTAATTTGGTATTGTAATTATTGTAGGTACGAATAAACCAGTTTAAATGATAAAATAAACGATTTATTTAACAAAGAAGTACCGAAGACCCCCGTTCCTCATCATATATTGGACCATCAAGCTATATACGAAGAAAAAAATCATATATAATCAATGGAGTCGTTGGAACTTCAAACGACACGAGTGTCAATCATATCAAGTCAATCATAGCTCGAGATAGTAAATCTTTGGACTTCATTTTAAATTCAATGACATTGACATTGCCGACATTGCGTAAGTTGCTTAACTTCAATGAACGCAACCAACGCGCTATCCACTTGCGTATTAAGCTTGTAGTGTCTTCTAGCAATTCTTAGTATACATTGAAATTAAAATTTTGTATTTTTAATAAGGCTCGATGCTCAAAAATCTTCTAAAGATTGTCTGGAACCAATCGATTTTAGCGATAAGACCGCCCATTGAAGCACTCTTTTTTTTACAATTGTAATTTCCCTCATTTCTGTTCTGTGTTGTGGTGTTTTCAATAAAGTATTGTATTGTATTGTATTGTATTGTATTGTATTGTATTGTATTGTATTGTATTGTATTGTATTGTATTGTATTGTATTGTATTGTATTGTATTGTATTGTATTGTATTGTATTGTATTGTATTGTATTGTATTTTAAATAGTTAAATGTGCCAGCAAGTGCCCTTAAACTTTATTATGGCTAGTTACTTAGTAATATAATAGTTAAACACAAGCATCGTGAAGTTTGAGGACCATTAAAGAAGTACTTATTATTACCTTATTTAATATTGCTAGGTTCTTGTAAAAGTTTTCTTTTAAAACCCTCTCTAATTGCCATACCATTCTTGACGATGTTTGGGTGAAACTATTAAAAAATCTTATACTAAAAGGCAGTTTTTGGAGAATATTTAAGTATCGGTTTTTTTTTGTTTTCTAATTTTACTTTTTATTCTTAAGGAAGAGGCGAGGGATATTATGGTACACATAATTGTGTATGTTAGAAGAATGTAACGTTGAAATATGTCTATAAATTTTATAGTAGATAAATCCCGTTTCAATATTGGTTAAACTGAATTTTATAAATACGCCGTTGTACCGAATCCAACTCCTTTCTCCCCAAGGGGAAACTCGCCAATACATCACCAGGTTAAATTAATCGCTTCCGACAATTCAGTCCGATGTTCGATAAAATCAAAGCGAAACATTCCACTGACCTATAGAATTTCACATACATTTAATATACTTACATGCATTTTCTTTTTTTTTTTAATTTTAAAACTTTATACCTACCAATTTCGGTTCAAGAGAAGACAATGAGAAGGCAATGAAACCATAATGGTAAACACTATTAAAGCATACTTTTAGTATATAAAAAGACAGGATAGAGATCTTGCTTCATCAATCGGGAAACAGGGAGGGGGGGGGGGGGGGACACATTTTACCACTTTCGAAGTGTCTCTTATTTGTTTAGAAAAAAATGATATTAGAAACCTCAATATCATTTTTAAAGACCTATCCATAAATAACCCACACATTTTGAGTTTCAGTTCTAAGTATAGGGAACCCCCAAAATTTATTGTTATTTTTCTATTTTTGTGTGAAAATCATAATGCAGGTCACAGAATGCATCTACTTACCAAGTTTCAACAGTATAGTTCTTATAGTTTCGGAAAAAAGTGGCTGTGACATACGGACGGGCAGACAGATAGATTATGACGATTCCATAAGGGCTCCTCTTTTTGCCATTTGGCTACGGAGCCCTAAAAAATATTTAAGTAATACCTACTTCACTCCCAATAACCTAAAGAAGCCTGAATTAATGATGACAGTTTTTCCGTTAAATAAAAATCTTCTTTCTCCATTCAGACAGCTATCTCTGTTCTAGGAACCGATACTTCGCTGGTTCATTTATTTTTTTTAGATTGCCAGTACTGAACGCACAATTTGCTCTGAGCAGTGACACTTGAGCGACATCTGGCGACGACGCCGACGGCGGAGATCCTTACAGGATATCTAAAATTAAAGTAGTGGTGTTTATCATGTCAGAAATATGTAATCAAACAAAATACGAAGGTAAACAACAAACATTCTGCCTAAGCCAGAATTTGTCCTTAACTGAATAATAATTTAGTCATCATCATTATCACATTTGGCTACCTCATTAAGATTATTATATTATTATTTATGTTCCATTGACAAGTTATTTTATTCAACCACCATGGGAATATATAAAAAAACCAAGTGCGAGTTGGACTCGCGCACCGAGGGTTCCGTACAAACCTGTAGATATTTATTAATAATTATTAATATATATGATGAAACTAAAAATTTACGATTTTCGCAATTTTTCATTTATCTGTACTATATGATGTTCGTACCAAATTTCAAGATTCTAACCCTGTAGGTTATGAATCCCGTGCGAGTTTCGAAAATTTGCGGAAATTTGCAGCATAAGCAGCTGTATGTTTTGATTGCTTTGGCTTAGACGTTTGATTTTTTCACAGCTCCAAGGGACACTTTATCTGAGTATTAGATATGAATTCAAGTTTGATATGAGTACCATCTCGAGCATGAAGACTACGAAAGATGACTTATATTTTTACAAATCTGAGAGGTGTTGCAGAGTGGAAAATTATTAAAACCGTTTATCACTCTCTATTGGAATACTGCATCACCTCTTGGGGTGGGGGGGCAAAAACACAATTACTAACGGTGGAGAGATCTCAGCGCATATTGCTTAAAGTGGCTGCAGGACTCCCACATCGCTATCCTACTGTAGAGTTATACAAAGTCTGGAACATTCTCTCTGTACGACAGATATTCGTTGTGAAAACCTTACTTCAAGAACAGTTAACTTATGACCCCAAATTTGAACAGAGGAGACGCAAAACTCAAGTCTGCCCTTTGCCTACTCAGAAAACCTCCTTTGCACAAATCTTCTTCCAGTTTCTAGGCCCATTCCTCTACAACCGAATAAATCATATCCTCCATATTTATTCTCGTCATAAAACCCACTGCAAAACTATTGTCCGCGATTATCTATTGACACTTGATTATGATACTACTGAAAACCTATTATGCCCTCTAAGGTAAACCTGCAAATATGATGATATTCGTAGTTTTCACATGAGATTTTAATTTCGCCTCTGCAACTGTTGAAACTAATCATTCACACACGACTGCACATACACAAACATACACACACACATACACTACACTGCATACATATTACATACACAAAAAGAACGAAATCACTCAAACACTTACTATCACATACACACACGCCGCTTTTGGTTATTATTTTTATTTTTAGAAACTGGATAATTTTCTAGCTTCCTATTAGATAGAATAGCTTTTCTTTGATTATTGTTATTATTTATTTGTTTTCTTCTATTCAATGCTGTTGAAACAACATCTCAACTGTCCAAGGTATTGTACCATCCGTGGAAGTCTTGCTATCTGTGATTGGGCCTGGTGACCTGTAGCACAGGTTTCTATTGCTGAAACCTATTTCAGACACCAGTTCATCACAAATAGAGGAGCCACAACACTGTAATTGCTATACAAGACTAACTATGAATCTCCTTTGTGATGGAAAATAAATATATTTTTGATTTGATTTTGATTGATACTCCACGCGTACCTGAGAAAAACGGTTTTGACAGACGGACGGACGGACAACAAGGTGAACCTATAAGGGTTCCGTTTTTCCCTTTTGAGGTACGGAACCCTAAAAATAAAGCATTATTAGCATAATAATTTTGTGGGTTGAGGAAAATTATGCCAACCGTTGAGCACACCAAGTAATCTCCTTTCCTTGAGAATTATCTTAGAAGGTGACGTGTGAGAATTAATTAATTTATTCATATACTCCGAACCAGCAAACATCATAGACATCTGTCTGTAATACCTTTCAGGTGATATACAATTTTATGGGGTTTCATGTGTTTATTAGTCTCATAGTAAAACACCCACGGAAGACTTGTTCTAGAACTTCGCTTGGATCGTTTGAATAATAT